AGTTGTTCCAACAACCTCTCCCTCAGGGACTTAATAATCACAGTGGGGACGATTCCCACGATCGAAATCTGTCTTCCTCGGACAGCAGCAAACTATCGGTGCCGCACCCCGAATCGAACGGGAAGCTGCGGAAGAAGGCCCTGGCGGTGGGCCAGTCCAGTGGAAGTATGTCGTCGGATTACTCGACCGTGTCCACTTCCTTGGCGGTTAACGGCGAACTAGAAACGCCTCGACAGCGGACCGGGGAGCGAGAACTCAGACCGCTATCACCCATCAAACCTTTATCGCCAATGAATTTTTGATCCGTGTCGGTTCCAGGCACATTTGAAGGATAAGGAATGAGTTTTCGGTTGGCGATTTGATGATACCTTTTTTTTTTGTCTTGATAATACCCCCCAGGATACGAATGCGTGGTGGATGTGACGGCATTTTCGCCTGGCGGCCTTCCCCTTAACGACATTACGCTCCGTTTACGATTTCACCACTACCCAACCCCCTTTCCCTTTCTATACCTATCTCAACTAGCATTCGACAATTGTCCTGTTCCGAGCTTGCCGTTCGTGGATCCACCAGGACCTAACCCCTCATTTCTGATTCATCCCGAGGACCACGAGTTTGGATGTTTCGGGAAAAAACGGCACAATCGCAATCGAATCACAGAATTGAAGTAATAACATAACACCTTGAATATTTCCCGTCAAGGTCTTTGTTCCAACATTGATGTCTCAAAATACCCTTTCCGTCGCAACTTTTTGATTCTACCGCGGCGGTTGCTGCCGCGGTATTACCTAGTATTATCCTTCAATGCATTCGCCTTGGCGTGCTTGAATAACGAATTCCTATTTTGGCTCCGAGGCGACGGCGAGGTTCGAATAGTGGAAAGAGGAGAGCGACGGAGTTTGGACGGAGGGAAGGGGAAAAGTATGTGTATAATACATCTATTGGTGCAAGCACTACGATACCAATATAAAGAAGCATAGCTCGCAGTAAAACTTGTCTTGTCATTGTGTCCATTGCCGTGAAACGCCTAACACCAGCCTATGTATTGCTCGTAATGCGTGGGGGGTATCAACGTAGTGTCCCTTTTGAGTTTCCATCGCCCTTCAAGGAAGTAGTAGCTAGAAGCTAGTATATCCTAATACCGGCCCAAAATGCGCTCCCCTCGAGAGTTACGGGACATTTACAACCTCGGATTTACCGTAAGAAACGTAGATAGCCTTCCATGGTACCAAGTTTTCCGGGTGCACAATCCGACCTTCCACTGACCCCCAACCCCCACCAATCATGCCCATTTTCCCACCACCTCCGCTCACGCTCACGTCTTTCTCCTCCTCTTCTTGTCCTTGGCCTTGGCCTCGCGCTCCTCGCGCTCCTTGTTCTCGTCGACCTCGACGAGCCAGTCCTGCTGCACCATGCCGGCCTCCTGGCGGTGCCGGCGGCCGCCCTTGTCGTGGCCCCACGTGCGCTCCCACGCGCCCGTGTCCTCGTTGTACCGCGTCGCCTTGGCCCGCCGCTGCTCCCGCGTCTTCGGCCGGATGCCCTTGCGCGCCGCGAACTGCTCCCACTTGGTCGGCTCCTTGGCCTTCGGCAGCGGCTTCTCGCGCGGCAAGGGGGTGGTTGCGGCGGGGAGCGAGAGCAGCACGCCGGATGTGCTGGTGTTGAGCGGCAGCGTCGTTAGCAGCTGGTTGATGAGGGCTTGCGCGCCGTCGCGCGCGGTGGCCGCGAGCTGCGCTTCGAGCGCGGAGGCGTTGGGGGGGCTGGGTTCTTCCGCGGGCGTGGAGGTCGAGAGCGGGTTCGGGTCGTTGGCGAGCAGGAGGCCCAGGTCGAAGGTGTAGGGTGTTGGCTTGTCGACGGCGACGTCGAGCTTGGGTTTGGACGCCGTGGCCATTGTGGTGGTGTTTGTGGTCGGATGCGACCGAGGTATGAGTATTTCGTTACTTCAGAAAATTCGTAACGTGATACAAGGTTGAAAGGTAATTGTAATTGTGCAGGCGCGTTAGATTTGCGGCGCAAGTTGGTAGAGGTAGAAGTTGTGATAACGGTGAAGGGTGGTGGGATGCTTTGGATTCAGAAAAAGTTCAATGGATTGATCTTCGCCAATAATTTTTTGGCTGGACCCCTGCTGCAACGATTATCGATAGCGGATCGGATTGCCGATTTCTCCGCCATCCCTCCATTCACGCTAAGTACCTAAACAGCATCAATCGGTCGATATGCATTTATCAGAGTAACATTGCGCATTGGAAATTTTAGTTGGGTCCAATTCGTGGAGAGCTTCAACGTTGAAAAGTCTAGAAATTCAAATCTCAACCTTGACCCTCACAGCAATGGCGAGCGCTTGCTGGAGGTGCTTAGCGCGGCCTTCGCAGCGGCTGCTCGTGCCCGCGCCCTTATTAACACCATATTCATACCCGGTGCCCGCTGCAGCATTCACGACGTCAGCTTCGCAGCTAGCTAGAGCAGGACCGGGAGGAGGAGGGAAGACTGTCCAGAAAACTGCAGATACGGGATTATCGAGGCATATCCGTGCCGGAAAGCGGTTGATATTAGGAAAGAAGAAGAAGCGACAATCTGATAGGACCAAGCCTCCGGCACCCGGCGAACGAAAGGCCTTTCGGAAGCGCATCCAGCTCACCAACGACAACGCTTTAGCAGTACCGGGCCTAAGCGAACTGACGGCTGAGAATATCGTGGATGCAGGGTCGATTGGGAAGGTGCTCAGTCTATCAACACCGGAACTGGTAGATCAATTGAGGGCTGTCGAGGCCTTCAAGCCGACACAGACGTGGAATTTGTTTCGAGCACCGCACATACTGGTGAGGCAGGAGACGGTGGACCTCGCGAAGCAGCTCACGGATGCGATCGGCAAAAAGGAGACGTTGAGATTAGTCGTTACGGGGGATAGAGCGTCAGGAAAGAGTATACTAGGTCTTCAGGCTCTGGCGACTGGATTCCTGAATAAATGGGTGGTCATAAATATCCCTGAAGGTATGCACACTCTCACCTAGCTACACTCGTTCGGTTTGGTATTTCGGAAACTAAACTACTTGGCAGCACAAGAATTAACCACCGGCGCAACCGAGTATGCGGCGATACCGAACTCGGAGCAGTTCTCCCAACCGGTATACACCGTCAAGCTCTTCCAGGCCATCTACAAAGCCAACCAGCCGGTTCTGTCTCAGTACAAAGTCGAGCTGGACCACATGCACCTCCCCATCTCCGTGAACCGCGGCATGACGCTCGCCGCCCTCGCCAACGCCACCAAGGAGCCCGAGTTCGCCTGGCCCGTGTTCCAGGCCTTCTGGAAGGAACTGCTGCTGCCGGGGCGCCCGCCCATCCTCTTCTCCCTCGACGGCCTGGCCCACGTCATGCGCGTCAGCGACTACCGCTCGCCCGCCTTCGAGCGCATCCACAGCCACGACCTCGCCCTGGTGCGGCTGTTCGCCGACGCGCTCGGCGGCAAGACCGCCTTCGCCAACGGCGCGGGCGTCCTGGGCATCTGCACCAAGGGCAACTCGCTGACAATCCCGTCCGTGGAGAAGGCGCTGGCGCAGGCCGCCGCCGCGCAGGCCCGGCTGCCCATCCCCCCGCGCGACCCCTTCTTCGCCAAGTACGACGAGCGCGTCTTCGACGCCCTCCGCGGCGTCCGCCTGCTCCCCGTCAAGGGCGTGTCCAAGACCGAGGCCCGCGCCCTCATGGAGTACTGGGCCGCCAGCGGCATCCTGAGAATGCGCGTCGACGAGAAGAACGTCAGCGAGAAGTGGACCCTGGCCGGCAGCGGCATCCTGGGCGAGATGGAGCGCGTGGCCCTGTATGATGTCAGGGTGACTATGTGAGATGCGTTGTCCACGGTATATAGATGCCGGTTCGCTCGTGACAGAACGGGATGGCGAGGTGGCGGCATGGGCCGTGTAAATCTGTATTAAATACAAGAATATATCCATTGTGTCGTATAGTGACCAACCACGCTTCATCTCGGGAATATGATTCTAAGGCTATATTTGTGAGTTCATGCGTCATATATACGAGTTTAGATAAGAGGAGTTGGTTTCAACTTTGAGCGAACCCTAACATATTACAGCTTCTAATACTAACTCACCAAGCAATGTCCATACCAGAGAGTATATTACTTAGGCTCCTGATTCGGGGACTATATAGATGCCAGCTATCTAGTTACCTATGCAAGACCAATGTGTACAATTCGTTCAAGTCTAACAACACACGGCAAACCGATGTACAACCAAAGGTTTGCTTACTTATGGTAACAGTTCTACCCAAGACAAGCAAACCTTTATGAGCTATTGTAATTGCACTAATCCCTAGTAACTCGGTCTTCCGACACTACAGCCTTAGCGAAAGTTTCATGGCGTAGTGGAAGCGCGCCGGGCTCATAACCAGGAGGTCCTCCGATCAAGACGGAGTGAAGCTAAAGTTTACTAGACTTTTTTCTCTCTCGTGGGTTTCGAAATCAGTGGCAGGCTGGCTACATATACTACGCAACGGAGGAAAATGAACCATCTTGAGGGAATTTAATCGTCTTCCGGCCAAGGCAAGTGCTCTCGTAAATCCGAACTGAAGTGAAGTCGTGCACAATACGTCAAGAGAAACTGCATCGACCAAAGTAAGGTCAACTCCTGAGTTGGACGATTGCGTTTATATTAAAGAGGCAGAAGGAATTTGAGCAGCGAAGTTTGATAATCCTTTACCTGCCTGCCTAACGAATAGATTCCGGTAACTCCTATAATAGTAGGGTATAGTAGTACTGCCACAGAGGCCAAGCTAGTGCAACGAACATAGATGCCCTCCCTGACTTGATCATGTATTCAATTGCAACTCACCACAACAGTACCAATAGAGGGTGGACTAATAATCTATTACTTAAATGCCATATTCTAGGTAGAAAAAGGTAGCCCATAACATTAAGAAAGCTGAGATGCCTACTTGATATAAAGTCAGTCAGCATCCAGACAACTAATACGACAACAAGCCGCCAAGCTATGGCAGTGATAGTTCAGTTGGGAGAGCGTCAGACTGAAGCCCAACCGTGGGTGGATCATCTGAAGGTCGTGTGTTCAATCCGCACTCACTGCATGCATTATGTTTTGCTATTAATTTCGGGTTTATCACCTATTTTTGCCGTCAGGAAGGAAATAGATAGATTATATGCTAAACACCAAGTTCCCTGTTGTATATATTTTCATGTTGTCTACTCACGTCATGGTTGTTTGGAGTTTCATCGCTGGCTCTTGTATCACCAGGAGCAAAATATCGAAAAGAGAGAATAAGACGAAAAAGGGGTAAATGATGATGTACTACTTTTTGTTCGTTTTTAAAAACGTTAGTTGAGTTGCTAGCTGAGTTTGAGAATAGCGGGAACTCTATCTCTTGACATGACAGGAGTTGGAGCTATACCGCAGCACTATAATCCCATCTGCCTACGACAAGCTACATTTCAGCGCATGTCTAGACGCCTACATGTAGTCAGAGAGCGATAGCCATATAATCGCAAGATTATTTTAGTTAGCTAGGAGTACAATGCCACGTCACAACGGAAAACGTCTGCTCATTAGAAAGCTTTCATTCATTTCAACTTAAACTACCCAGTTTGAGGCGACCTAAGGACCCATGCAAACAGGTATCGCAAGCAAAAACCGCAGAAACACATTGTCGTCAACTTCATGCTACTCTCAATCCCTGATCCATAACGCCGTGATTCTTGACTCTTAATCTGCGTACTTCTGCTGTGCGAGAAGTTGTCTTTATTCCGCGCCACTCTAGCTCGACTGGAACATCATTATACCGACGACACATAGGTAGGCTCCTTCGATCTGCCTACTTACTACCTCAATCCGAGTCTTCGTCCCTGGCGTTCTCAGTGGCGGTGATGAACACCAGCCTGCTGCCATTGCCGGCCGTTTGCCAGACCTGCAGTAGTTGTATTAGTCATCCGTCCCTCCAAAGCAAAAAAGGGGCACTTCGTAAAAAAAAAAGAGAAAAAAAGCAAAGGAAAACTCACATCAAGATTCGTGTACTCGTCCAGCGCATTGAGCCACTGGTCCTCGGTGAAGCCCTTGCCCAGGACCCTCTCCCTAACCTTGCGCATGCTCATCTCGACGGCGCCCTCCTCGTCGTCGTCCTCGTCTTCGGCGCGGCACGCGCCGCTGTCCGCGAGCGCCTTGACGAGGTTATAAATCCTAGACGCGGCGTTAAGCGTGCGCCTGCCACCCGCGAAGCCCTCGTGGGCGGCGAGGCTCTCCTTGCTGGCCTCCATGAGGCGCAGGGCCTCGTCGACGTCGTCGCGGTTGGCGGCGGTGTCGAAGCGGAGGCGGGCGAGCGCCTGCGCGAGGCGCACCACGCCCAGCAAGGTTCGCGGCGTCGTGTGCGTGAACTGCTGGTTCTTCTTCTCGGCGCGGCGCTGCGACTCGCGCAGCTTCACGTACGTCTTGGTCAGGTACTCGGTCACGGACTCGGGCACCGTGGGCCGGTACGTGCGCGCCTGCGCCACGTACGCGCGCACCTCGTGCGGCGTGAAGACGACGTTGGCCGCGGCGCCGGCGGCGTCCGCGTCCGCGTCGCCCGTGTTGGCGTACGCGTCCGGGTGCTTGCTGTGCATGTGCACGTACGCCACGTGCTTGGCCAGCTGCGCGTCGCTCTCGCGGTTCGGCGTGTCGAGGAGCAAGAACAGCACGTCGAAACGCGACAGCAGGGCCGCGGGCAGGTTGATGTTCTCGACGGGGGAGATGCGCGGGTTGTAGCGGCCGTAGATCGGGTTAGCCGCTGCCAGGATCGAGGTCCTGGCGTTCAGGGTGGTGGAGATGCCGGCTTTGGAGATGGAGATGGTCTGCTGCTCCATGACTTCGTGGATGGCGGTGCGGTCGTTGTCGTCCATCTTGTCGAACTCGTCGATGCAGCATATGCCGTTGTCGGCGAGAACCAAAGCACCGCCCTCGAGCACCATCTCGTCTGTCACGGGGTCGCGCATCACGGCTGCGGTGAGACCGACGCCGCTGGAACCGCGGCCGGAGGTGTACACACCGCGGGGGGCAACTTTGGAGATGTACTTCAACAACTGGGATTTGGCCACACCGGGGTCACCCATCAAACAGATGTTGATGTCACCACGAATTCGCATGCCGTCGCCCATCGTCTTAGTGACACCGCCCACAAGGAGTAAGAGGAGAGCTTTCTTGACGTCTAAGTGGCCGAAGATTTCCGGCGCGATAGACCTCGCCAGCATCTCGTATACGGTTCCCGTGTGGCTGAAAGAGCTGATACGTCGTAGTAACTTGTCGTCGATGATCATCTCCTCGTACGCCTTCTTGTGCTGGACAATGTGGTGCGCCTCGACATACGTGTCGGTTAGCAGACCGGCTCGCATCGCTTTGAAGCCGGTGTAAGGGGTAGGCAAGAAGATTCCAGAGACATCGACAATATCACCCGGACTGATCTGGCGGACGGCGCTCCCATAGCACATGATGGTGAGGGTTCGAGGAATCTGGCCGATGGGGACCTGCTCGGCCAGTTCTTGCACCTTGACTTCCTGGAAAGGCAGGAACTTGGAGGCGCGCGAGGACTGGAAGAGTTGACCTTTGGACTGGTTCTCCTTGCACTCCTGCGACGGGCACTCGGTAAGCGGGGCGTATTGCTTGTCGGCGACGGGCTGGAAGATCTCGCATCCACAGCGGTCACAAGTATACGCACCAACTTGGACGATAGGCTTGACGTCGGAAACTCGGGTCGCAATGCCACGGATGGTGATGAGATGACCGAGGTGGTCTCCTCGCACTTGTCGCACAGCAAGAGCCTTCACCGGATTCTCGCTGGTGGACGTTCTCGGCTTGAAGACTAAGGTGTAACGTCTTGTGAGTTGAGCGGGAAAGGTGGACTCGAGTAGCTCGGGATTGTTGGTGTTAGCAGCAGTCTCGGCTAGGTCGCGATTTCGGGCTTGTCTCCTCTCCATGATGACATCTAGCACATCGTCCTTGAATGTTATCCCGTTGGTGGGAGCGGGTAGCTTGTTGTCGATAGCTTTGGATAAGATTTCGACGTAGTGTTTAGTGTTTGCTTCGATGGACTCTACCAACTTGAGCCCTTCGCTTGTATCATCCTCCCACTACTTTATGTTAGCTACATACATCTTCGTAGAGGTGAGTCACACGATGCAATTCTTACTTGAGCGACATCATCTAGTTCTATCAAGATCTCGTCGATTGCGCGGTTTGCCAACTTTTGCATCATGTCGGCATATTTGTGCTTCGGTTGCTTGGACGCATGCTTTTCTCTTCGGCGTTGCTCCTGTGCTTCGTCGTCCTCGTCCATAAAATCGTACTCGTCACTTAAGTCATCTTCGTCAATGTTGATCTGGCCGATAGCGTGGGTTATGGTCTGCTCGGGCGAGGTCTTGAACTTTTCGAGGAAATTCTCGAAGGCCGATTGTTGCGCCTCGTAATCGACAATGTTTCTGTATTGTAGGAGCGCCATTGTCAATTGTTCTGTTGGTTGGGAGTGGGATGTTGTTGAATGTTGAATTGCGACAGAAATGAGGGAGTCGCAAACAATTGCTTAATTCTTAATTCTTATCACAAACATCCGTGCAAAAGAATGGAGGTGCAGGTGGATATGGAGGCTGGAAGCGCCGACAGGGGGCAGAAGAGCTGCAGGGGTTTCTTTTTCTATGGAACACGCGTTGACGCGAACTTTCGCGTATTCTTCAGCCCCATCCATTAAAGTCTTCCAAGGTACCTGTGGCTGATCCCTTATTGATTTCCCCACTCTAAGGCACGACCTAAGCTCGGACCTCTTCATGTGATGGAAGGAACGTGGCTCTCCCGTTTCAACTTTTACGGTTAGGGAGGTTGAAGTACCTCAGTACCCTGTGGATGACGGATTTCTTGTGCCTCGGTCCACGGCTTCATGCATGCCACCACATAAACATCTAAGCAAATCAACTTTATTTCCCGGCGTCAACAACCTGGAATCCGATTATGTCTCAAAAACAGCAGAAGACTCGCAAAGTTTCCTATTAATGTCTAAGCTTTGCCAATGCTCTGAGCACACAGAAATTACACGTTAAAGCTATCATGGCGCCACGAAAGAACGCGCAGTCGACCGCTGCCGAGCTCTCCCTCGTACACCTAAAAAGTTGCTTGGTGAATCTTCCAACGTCTTTGGTGAACCTGCTTGTCACCATCAATACTGTAAGTATAATTGATTTTCTATGTTGGTTCTGCTTTGTATGCTAATTTATCTACGTAGCCTGCCCAAAATGTCGTCGTCGAGCTCAATTATCGCGTTCCCTTACCCGCAAACGGTTCTGTCCAACCCAATGGCTCACCAACCACGCAACGATCCATATATGTCGGCTGGACGGGGATGCCCAGCAAGCGCAAGATAGCCCCCATAGTAGATCGCGATGGTATAAGTAGTATGCGTGGTAGCGGCAGAGACCAAGAGGTGGCCTCTGTGGAAATCGATGCTACTTTAGCAGCCACTCTGGGACTATCAGACGGTCAGAAGGTCAAGGCCACCATACATGTCGATCCTCCTCTAGCGCACACCGTCAACATCGAACCTCTGACGCCCGAAGATTGGGAGATAATAGAATTGCACGCGACCTTCCTAGAGCTGAATCTGCTCTCACAGATTCGCGCCCTACCAAATCCCGCGTATACGGCCGCGTCAGGCCAGCCTCCCAGTCCACATCCGCTGACTCTCCACCTGTCGCCTACATCTACAGCCAATATCAAAATTCTGTCGCTCGAACCCGTTCCCGCGGCCGACGTTCCATTCGTGAAGATAGCCCCCGACGCCGAGGTCATTGTTGCGCCCAAGACCCGAGCCAAGTCATCTAAAAGTGGTCGCGAAGATCGTAGTGTGGGAGGCACATCTAGAAGGAGCGGAAAGAGCGCGGCTAGTACCGTCCGCAGAAAAGGTGCTCGGGAAGAAAAGAAACCTTCTTTATTCTTAAGAGCTGTGGATCGCAAACTTTGTCGCGAATGGTTTGACCAAGAATTCACATCGCAGGACCTCGGCGTATGGGTAGATCGAGACCTTCTCTCGTCTAAAGATTTCCGAGGCGTGACTTGGGTTGC